TAATTCATTCCTGATTGCATGCATTCTACACTCTCAGATTCAACCTGTGAACTGTCCTGACTTAGCGCCTTTAGCCTTCTGAACTTTAAGAACAAGCATAAAAACGCCCTCTTGCATTTATTTTACTGTTTTGCATTACATTCATTATTTATTGCTTAGCTTAATCCGAACCTGAACTCGATAGTGTAGTTTACTTACTCCCTTGGGATTCGATAACCTCTTGTACTACAACTGCTTTGCTGTGCACTTGCAGTAGTTTTATTTGGGTAAAACCTGACCCTATCAAGTTTTTGTCTCCCTAACGTTAGCATTATCTACTACTGCTTTATTTCCACTACAGAATCCTGAAGATGAACAATGTGCTGATTATGAATTGATAAGATATCTTCCTTCACTGATGTGCCAACGTGTCATTCAGCTGAAAAGAGTTTATTCATCTAAGATATGAAAGTCTCAATTTAGGAAGTTTTAAAAACATCAGTTTCAAGATTGATTATATACTTATGTACATAAGAATGTGTTAGCTTACGAGAATCAAAACTATCAGAAATGGAGCAAAATTGTTCTTCTTGCCTTCTTGTTGTACCTTTCATGTGATTCCATCTTCAAACGTTAAATTTAAGTTCATTGCAATTTTCCAAAATGTTTATTATTTTAAAACACAACTCATGTTCAAAATGCAAGTTATTTTCTTTAATATATATCAATATAACTTGTCGTTATTTAGGATTCAACACAACAATAACATTAAAGTCTCTCCATGGCTCAGATTTTTTAAGCTTTATACACATGACACCTCAGCAAAAATAATCACCAATCAAAACATTTTATTAATATATCTCATATACTTATTTTAATTTTTAAACTTAACCCCATTAAAAACCTAAATATTTTTTCTATTAATTTTTGTTTTATTTTTTACCAAACCCAAGCCCAAATAATTAATAACAATAAATAAAAAAAATATTATTTTATTTTTTACCAAATCTAAACAATAAATAAAAACAAATAAAAAAATTAAATCGTTGTTTCCTTTTTTTTGCCAAAACCAAATGCAAATAATAAACAACAACAAATAAATAATAAAAAAATTCTAGCTATCTATTTGTTTGACATAGACGTATATGATTGAAAAAGTGTAGGCTCAGCATCAACTATGCTTCCATGACAACCACGCAAAAAGCCTTATGTTATAAGAAGCTTACACATCAGCAAAAATTTGAACTGATAAAAAACATAACAATTTCTTAGTTTTCGCGGGAAAATACAATTTCACGGGAGATAATGCAACTTTTGGTTTTCGCGGAAAATTATAGTTTATTTGTTTTTGTAGGAAAGCGTGATTCTGCGCTTGACGAGAAAATGATTTTTTTTTGGCAGAAATAGACGATTTCTCAGTTTTCGCAGGAAAAATAAAATTTTCGATCTTGGGAGAAAATACAATTTTTTTTTTAATTTTTGCAGGAAGATGAAATTTTTTGGTTTTTGTGAAAAAACGTAATTTCTCGGCTTTAATGGAAAAACACAGGTTCTCACGGGAAAATGTAAGTTTACGTTTTAGGTTTGACAAGAAAATGAATTTTTTTGTTTTGGCGGGAATAGCCGATTTCTCAGTTTAATGGAAAAATTCTTTTTGTTTGTTTTCACGGTAAATGCGATTTTTTGATTTTTGTAAGAAAAAAAAAATTCTCAGTGTTAAATTTCCAAGTTAAAGTATATTTACAGTAATCAAAATTTAATTATTTAACTTTAATTAAAACGATATTTTAAGAGTTCAAACATAATTTTCTATTTAGTTCTAAAACAATTGCAATGGTTTTGATATGAATGTTATTGATTATAGTTTGGTAGTTTTTAGAAACATATGTTTATAATAAAATATTTGATAAATAAATAAATTTATAATTCAAAATAATCATATTCATTAATAAATCTTTTTTTAAATGGTATTTTGCTTTATATAATTACAAAGGAGGACCATGTGGCAATTTATTGGAGAAAATAGATTACATTTGCCATTAACATAAAAGTACTAAAAATGTATTGCTTTATTCTCATATATTTTATTTCTATATATATATTTATAATTAGTTAGCTAACTAAATTTAATAGAAAATTATAATTTTGAAATATATATATATAATATTTATTCAGATTTAAAACATATAAATATATAACTTAAGCTAATAAAAAATAAATATAATACTTATTTATATTAAAAAAATAATTTTATTATATTAAAAATATATATAAAATTTAGAAAAATATTCCGCAGCATAGCGTGGGTAAATACCTAGTAATACCAAAGAAAGAAAATGTTAGTTGATATATTTCTGTAAAAAAACATTAGAAGAAATGAAATCCAAATTGAAATGGTCGTTATGGTTTCAAAATACTGTATGACCCCATGGGTTACTTTCGCTTTGCATCATAAATCATATTCGTAACTATTCAAATTCCGTTATGTGTTTGCATAGGTGCATTGGAGGGAGAAGCAAGAATTAGTGGAGAAATGAGAGATGTAACGATACAACGTGGAGGGTCTCTGTAACAACAATACTTGTCATTATCATTGTCCGGGATGTGTTATCACACAGTGTGTTTTCAACCAATGTGTTTGTTCTCAATGTAACCCTCCAAAACCATATTTACGTACGTAATATTTATCGAAATTTTTGATGAAAAGATGATAATGTATAATTAACAGTTTTTCTTGGTAATATAGTCTAAGTCACTTTTGCAAAGATCAACAAACTATATGCCTTTTAACCAAAAAAAAACTTTTACAATTAATGCTTCTTGTTCTGATTTTTTGATGCCTTGCTAAATGCTATTCAATACAAATAGATAAATAGAAAGAAAAAAAAAACTCAAAGATTAGTAAACCAAGTTTGCATTCCGTCTTCATATTTAGACGTCAATCTTTTACGAACTTGTTTATCGATATGCGTAGGAGAATCTCCATGTCTTCGTCCGTCTCTCCAGATGCTGTGAATGGTTGCTTGAGAGATATATCGCAATAGGAATAAAGAGATCATGCCTTGCTCTGTATCAAGGAGAAGGTCGATGATGATTACCTCCCATTGTGCCGTAAATTGCACTATAAGATTTAAAATGGGCGCATCTCTTATTAAGCTCGCAACTGATGAAAATTTAAGCCAGTTTTTTTAAATGTTTTTCTCATTTTTTTGAACCAATTTTTTAATTTAGAATCGCAAATCAACTTAATTTGTTCAACTCGAATATCAACTCTAATGTCAACTAACAACTTGTCAATTTAGTAATTTCTTTGTATAAGATTTAAGTCTAGATTTTTTTTTTTCTTTCAAATCGGTAAAGTTGTGTTTTCATAGTTTGAATTGTAAAGGTAATCTCGAGCATTCTCCACTAACTTATCTATCTTTGTGTTTTGAATGCATGAGACATGTGAGATTGGAAAAAAAAAAAAAATCATTTATGTTTGTCTTGTATACCTCCAAGTGTAATATGAAAATCGGTTATTCCTCTAATGTAGATACCATCTTCACCAATTCAGAATAATTCGTAAAGAAAGCCATCGCCGATCTTCTTGTATCCAGCATACAATGCATAGTCCAGATCAAAGCTTTCAACTCTGAGTGTAACAGAGAAATATTTCGTCGTATATTTTTGCCACAATTAGCGTGACATCTGAGCCTCTTTCTTGATAGTACAATCCTAACTCGGAATTTGCTGTTGTTTCCGTCCAAGAACCATATGTATGACATATTAAGCCCTCATGCCCCAATGCGACCATCTCTTATGGATTTTGACTTTGAATTTGTAAATGATCAAATTGTGCCGAAGCCCATGATATTGCCTCCACTTGTGCAATTCTTAAAACCCCCTTTGAATCATGATTAATGTTTAAGTATATTATATCATTCTTGGTTTTTCAAATGTACCAGAGAATTTATGAAAACACGTTCAATCCCTCCATGTGTGGTTGTTGCCAAAACAGATGTGCCACATTTATGTATATGACTGTCGAAGGGAACCCCAACATTGATGTTGGTATCACTGATAAAGCTCACACCTGGAACACTGGTGGATATTCAAATAGTGTGTGAATTATTGTCTATCGTTCTGCGCTGCATCGTTCGCATTGTGAGTCTCAATTTATACCTCTGATGTATAGCCTATCCATAACCGATATACATCCTTTAATGACTTACCATATACATTGCTTTATTTTAGGCGGACATTAAACATTTCAAACATGGCTTTGTAAATGACTTATATTGGGAACATGGTAAGGAAGTGTGGTGTAGGGTTTTCTCATTCTGTATTGTATCAAAATTTGACCGTATTATTCATTTACCAGATTTTGTGAAGTGCCATATGCCTAAATTTGGCCTTAATCCTTAATGGTTAGAATTCCAATAACATAAAAAATATCTTCTGAAACAATGAATTATTTTAAGAGATAAAATCCAAATTTTGGTTAAAAACAATCAAATTTTTGATTTTAAGATCTGGATACAAATTATATTTTCGACATATTATTGATTTCAGGCGAGTAGTCAGTATCCATTAGTCTAGTCAGGCGATATATTATGAGTTGTTTACACTTAAGAGCACTTTGACGTGTTTTAGTTACATTTAAAGCACTCTTGGCAATTTCGTGACTTCCGCGTAAAAAACAGTTGTGTTTTTCTGATTATACCCTTAATGAAAGGGGGTAAGTAATGGTGCGGTTAAAATATATTTTTGGATTTACCTTAATTTAAACTATCTTCGACGGAAGCGAGTGGCTTTAACACCGGCCGTAGTTTATGTAATCGAGAACTGCGACCTCTGTCGGCGTAGATATTCAACGCTTTCACCAGAGTATTTAATTCGATGCCGGAAGTTAGTCCAGCATAATTAGATTGAATCGATATTGGATGTATTTGGTTTTTAACAAGTTTTTTCACAATGGGTATAATTAACTTATCGTGTGTGGTCGTGGAATTTATTATCCTATCCACGATTGGTTGTACATGGCGAGGGTGGTTATTGATCGTCCGGTATGGTCATGGTAGAGTAGACGCATTGATCGAGGGAAAAAGCAGGAGTTTGTGGATGCTAATATCGATGATGCTTTTGGGCCATGGATTTTGCAGTGGATTAATTGATTACATGATCGTGTGGCGTAGTTTAAAACACGGTGTGGTGATAGATGAACCTATTTGTAGATTATGTCAGACACGTAATGCAATTAATGCAAACCCTTTAGCTTTGTTATTTGTTAGAAACAGAGATTTTGGGTTGGAGCGATTTCAGGCTGTGCAATGGAAGAGCACTGTCTCGTAATAGCAGGGGAGTGGTTGTGCGGCAAAAACGCGAAGTGGGATTTCGTCGTCGACAAGCAACGGATGTCTAGAGTTGTTCTAATGAGAGAAGACATGAAAATATGTGATTTGACGGCAGAGGTATTGAAGGAGTTTTGCATTGTGGGAGTTTCCCAGGAGACCATGGTTCTCAGCTACTGGCCGCCGAACACGAACGAGCTAGCGACAAGGATCAAGACACCACCTGTTGTGGTCAGTATTGAGGGAGGAATTAGGTTTTTTTTAAGCATTTGAGAGTGAAGGATTCAATGAACCTGTTTGCGACATTCGATATTCTGTCTGGTGCTATCGGATATACAACCCCAAATCCCTCATCTATAAGAGTAGGTGTAACCGAGAATAGTGCTTCGCGCCTGAAGTCTGTTTCATTTGCTTCTGGGAAGGAGACCGGACCTTCAATCGGCAGAGTGGAGGACGTTGTACCTAGCAGCAAAAGAGTCATCGAGACTGATAGTGCGTCCTTCAGTAGTTTGAAGCAGCGGACATTAGTAAGTTCAATGAGTGGAGGATCGTCGAGCAGTTTTCCATTCGATTTAAACGCTTTAGATGTGGATAGTGTTGCCGAGTTTTGTTCTGGCGATGTTAGCGCATTCTCGTACGAGTTGAGTGATGCAGACATTATTAGTGAAGTGGAATCGGTGGAAAATCGTTTCCATAGCAGTAGGGCTCCGTCAAGCGAAGGTACAGATGAGTTTGATGAAGAGGATTATTGCGGTGACCTGGACGACGAGGAGGATATTATATCTGTTGGTTATGATAATGAGTTCTGGGAACCCTTGATAGATGATGCACTCGGTGGATCTGATGCCGTAGAGTTTATGTGTCCAGCCGGAGATGGGTTTGACGGCAAAGCCGTTTCTGGGGGGAAAATGTGCGATGTTTTGCGCGTAGCAGAGGAAGAAGGAAAGCGTAGTAGTGTAGGTGGTGGTGGTAGCAAATGGACAAGTGTTGATGGACAAGTTGATGTAGAGCGTTGTTCAGCGTATAATGGACGAGTAAATGATGGTAGTATGGACAGCGTAACCACACAACCACGGGCTGGTGGATAGTTCCTGAACAGGAGTGTGCCGCTACATCTCATTGATGATGAGGAGTTTGACATTCCCCTTATGTTCGACGACACTGCGTATGCTTATGAAGAAGTTCCTAACTTGGATTTAGATGGGGTAGATGATCGAATTTTCGAAGGTAAGTTGTTTGGTAGTAAACAGGAGTGTCGCATAGCCCTTGCGATATATGCTATTAAAGGAATGTTTACATTCAAGCAGCATACCACCAAACGACACTACTTTGTTGTTAGCTGCACCGATGCACATTGTGTCTGGAGAGTGCTGGCTCGAGAGGTTGGTGATTGCAGTTACTACAAAATCAAAAAAGCACATTTAGAACATACTTGTGATCGCGACACTAGGAATGCGTACAAGAAAAAGGCAATGGCTTGTGTAATTGCGGTGGTATTCAAAGCAAAGTTCGGGGACCCGGAGACTGGACCTCGGCGGCGGAGTTGCAACAAATGGTTCTCGAGTTCTTGCGTGTGGATGCATCATACATGACTTATTATCGGGCGATCGGTAAAACGGTTGAGGGTGTTAGGAGATCAGATGAAGACTCTTATAGTCGTCTGCCAATGCATTTGCATATATTAAAGCTTGAAAATCCTGGTAGCGTGACTGATTTGGAGGTGGAAACAGATGAAACCGGCTTGCAGAGGTTCTTGTATGTGTTTGTAGCGTTTGGAGCGTCAATAGCGGGTTTTAGGAAGCTTCGATCGGTTATTATTCTCGACGGGACTCATTTGTGGGGTAAGTATAAAGGTGTGTTGCTGACTGCGTGCGAACAAGATGCCAATTTTCAGGTTTTCTCTCTAGCCTATGCTATTGTAGATAGTGAGAATGACAAGTCGTGGATATGGTTCCTTGGGAGGCTGGAGAAAATATTGGCAGATAGTCCGGTGTTGACTATAATCTCTGATCGCCATCAATCAATATACAAGGCAGTGAGGACAGCCTATCCGAAGGCTCGACATGGATGTTGCATAGTACATCTGGCTAAGAATGTGGCAAGCAAATGTCACAACAAAGGGCTCGCTAAGCTGGTTGTCGGTGCAGCATTTTCGTATAGAGTTGGTGTGTTTAAGTAGTATTTTGAGAAGATAAGATCCAGTAGTGGCGAATGCGCAATGTATTTAGAAGCTGTAGGGATGGCACATTGGAGCCGTGTGTACTGCATGGGTGAACGGTATAATATCATGACCAGTAATGCTTCTGAGAAATTGAATAAGGTACTGAAAAAGGGGAGAGGTTGTCTGATTGTTGAGCTGTTAAAGTTTATTCAAGAGATGATAACTAGGTGGTTCAACGCCCGAAGGAAGAAATCTTTGAAGCATCGAGGAAGTGTGCCTCCGGAGGTGGAGAAGGTGTTGGCTATCCATATGTCTGATGTGAAAGGCACGAAACTAAACGCCATTAATGAATGGAGCTGTCAGGTGGTGGGACCGTTTGGTGAGACCAACAAAATATGTCTGTCGGGTAGAAGTTGTATGTGCAAGAAATTTGATAGACTTAAAATACCATGTGGTCATGCTTTGCTTGTGGCTGATAGCCTCGGTTTGGCTGCGAGCACATTGGTTGGTGTAGCGTACAGGCCAATGACGTGGAGGGAGACGTATGAAGAGATAATTAATCCTGTGGGGAACGTAGAAGACGTGGAGGTACCTGAGGAGTTGAAGACAATGTTGCTTCTGCCCCCACGACGGAGGAAGTCATCTGGGAGGCGTAAGACAAATCGAATTCCCTTCGTTGGAGAAATGCCTGTGAGTTTTGTTAATCTGTAAATTGGTATTGTTGATTAGTTATGTATTTTGAGTATAGAGTTTCGAATTACTTGCAGATTACTCGGGTGAAGAAAGACAAACCAAATAAGTGTTCAAAATGTTTCCAGCCTGGGCATAACCGATTAAGTTGCCTGAAAGGGGAGTGAGTGGATGTTTTCTGAAACCGCGGCGATGGTGACTGTTTCGTAGCTTATTTTTTCGGAGCCGCAAATTAATATGCGATAAAAAATTTTGTGTGATTCATTGAAGGCTGCTGTGGTGGTACTTAAATGAAACTCTGTAGTATGTGTTATGTATGTAGTTCAAAGATTTGTTGTATTCATGAAAAAATTATGTTGTGATGTTGCTAATAAAGAGTAATGTTTGTTAGATGTGTGAGAAGTTGATGACGGTTATATATAAATGGATGGTTGGGTATGGATGGGCTTGATTATTGGGTTCATTATCGTCGACATCTCCCGATAAGTTATAGCAAGAACAGAAATGTGGATTGTATAGTTGTGGATATAACAGCGTGGACATACTGTTGGGCGAAGATAGACTAATGGTATTCCCCTATATTATTAGTTAAACATCATGTTCATTATTTGTTATGCAGCAAACCAGACTAATTTCTGATTTACTTCCGGATCACTTGACCTGCTTCGGATCATGTGTGCTCTGTTGTTGCAACTCTATTAAAATTACAATCCCAATTACATTTGTTTGTAACCGTTAGTGTAAAAGCTCTGCAGGATACAACCTCTATTACTTTATGTCTTTTATGAGTAAATCTGTTGTGTTTCTTTTTATAAAATTTTATAGTAAGACCCAACTGTTGCCGTCGTCTAAACCAACCGCAATATTAATACATTAGAATAAGCGAAATATTATACATCATAATGGTAAGTGCAAGTCTTTGAAACATGGTTGAAAGGTCTGAAAGCATAAATTATTTACTAGAGCGATTACTTAAACATCATAATGGTGAGAGCGATTACCAAAACGACTGCAGTTATAGCCATATGCATCCTCGAGCAGCTTGTTATGCCAGTTTTATTCTTCTTCAGGTCATCAACAGTCTTTGCCAACATGGCAATCTTGTCGTCGGTTTGAATTTTATCCTGTTTGAGTTGATCAATTTCTGCTTTAGCTATATAGAAATCGTCGATGTAGGTGAATAGCTCAAGCTTGTCTAAGACTGTTTCATAGTCGTTTTTAATGGTAGTAAGCTCCTCTAGAATACCCTCGTTTAACCACTTCCATATATGGCAGTTTCCATCCCCTACATTTGGGCAGGTGAAGAACCTTCTGCCCGGGTCCATTGTGGAACGACACGTATCGAGAATGGCTCGAGCTCCACAATAACATTGAGTCAAAATGCCATATTCGTTGATTGGTACTACATGCCGAGCTAGTCTTCTCCTAATACCACTTGAATCGCTGTCGGTGCTACTTGAAGGTTGTGTGTAGCTATGAATACCCATCTATACGAATGGTACAATCGCCATCATTATACGTCGAAGAACACTAATATATTTATCTGACTAATTTAGAACCACAAATAGCCAAATCGCAGTTGTTCAGAGCCAAAAATCAAAAATCCAAAAGAGGAAAATTTGTCCGAATCAAGCTTCCAGAGAAAATTGATTGTACCTTATAATTCAGCGAGGAGAGGCTAAAACGAAGCAAACAGATCCAGAAGGGAACAGATTATGTCGGTGTAAATCGTATGACGTGCAGAACAAATGGCGTAGGTAACGGAGATATAAATCGTAGGAGGGAAATTGAATTGGATGTTGAAGTTAAAGTTTTGTGGAGGCCGGTAATTTGATACGAGTAAGGGGAAGATGTATTGGGGAACTGAGAGAGGAAATTAGGAGCTATGTCGAATTGCTTTGTGGAGGAGTTTATTTATAACCAGAAAATAGTTAAATTTTTTTTATTAAATATAAAAACGAGTTGTGGATGTATGTGCATGGACAGGGGACCGTGGACCGATTGGTTGGGCTTTTTTCGTGATTGAACTGATCGAAGGGTGTAATTTGTTATAAGCATGTCTTTTGAGTTGAGTTGTGAATACGGTGTGGCGAGGTCGTTTATGTAATTTGACATTATGAATTTAGACAGTTGCCCTAATTTGATGGTATCCACCAATTATATAGTGTTAAATTTGAGAAATGATTGTGGATGTATGTGCGTGGATATGTGTCTGTGGACGTTGTTCAGGAAAAAATCGATGACTATTAATGGTTAAAGGCATGGCTTGTGCTTGGTGGATACTGAGTCGTGGACATTAGGACGGCATGTACATGTAATTAAACATTATATAATTGAACGGATGACCTAGTTTTAAATCACTATTAATAAAGGTTTATGAGGCTGAGATTTTTACGTTTCAGCAGATAATATATTTTGCAGTAAAGTGTCACAATAGAGATGGGAGATAGTAAAAGTTCGGGATCTGATTCAAATTTGTACTACCGTAGCAAAAAGGACATTGAAGGGCCGCTTTGTCATTGCTGCCGAGTAACGACGATGACTAAATCTTGGACTAACGACAACACGGGAAGAAAGTATTTCAAATGTGCGAAGCATGGATTTTACGTATGGTGCGAGAGCGAGAGATCTGAGGGATGGGAGTGAGAGAGTCTTCTAGAGTGCCGTGACCAGATACGACGTCAATCACAAGAAATAAAGGAGTTAAAGGATGCAGTTGTTGCTGCGTCACCCATTGGGGTGTCTTCCGCCGTTGCTCGGAGTGTGTCCCGTGGTAATGTTTCGAGTAGCCCAAGTGGGGAAGACATGATTGCTTTGCTGGAGAGGGAGAAGGTGCTACGCCAGTTTGTTATGTTCTCATGGGTGGGAGTAATTGTATCGTTGGCTCTTATCTTTGCTGTGGTGAAAAAGTAGATCGGCTTCTTGGTAGTTTGTGATTCCGTTCAGACATTCGTATTGTTTGTTAAGGGTTGAGGTTATTGTATCGGGTTGAGTTTCAAATTGCGTTCAATGTAATATATTAAGTTTTAAACATTTCGGCAGTGAAATAGAGTAGGTTTCTAGTTTCCTAAAAAGAACATAATGTTAGTTCTTCCCAAAATAAAGCTGAGGGGGCGATGTGAATACATATGTATAATATAAGATAAGGCCGACTGGAGTAGTTGCCGAGAAAACCGATACTAGTTAAAAGTGCAATAATAGAAATCAAAGAGAACGGGCTGGGAAGTACAATGGCATGACTAGGCCGCGGTATAGGTCCAGTGCGTATTGCTTACGAAAAGCATCGACATGGTTATCTGTTAGTCCGAACATGTGAGGATCGGGGTCTCCTGCTGAGTGTATTTCCATGAACTTGATGGAGACAGGGCCACAGTCGCCTGAGCGCTGGTTTAGATATATGTCTTTCACCCGATTCCATGTGTAAGGGGAGGCACCTTGTTGTTGTGACGCTTGAGGGCATAGATTTTTGACCACGTAAGGAAACATGTCGCAAATAGGCTTCTCCACCTGTCTATCATATTTTAGTGGAGGGTAGGGGTCTAGTATCTCGATGTGGCTGAGGCTGATGTTGATAGCTAGACCAACCCAGTGCTGAACCTTCCAACACATGGGGACGTATACCGTGTCTGTGTCGAGGACCCATGTCTTCCCAGGAACGTTGACGTAACGGCTTACATCGTCTCACCTCATGTTAGATTTATCTTTGGAGGCGTAAAATTTCCTAGCTTTACTTGTGATGTGGCCGAGTAAGTGGGGGGAGCAGTAGCAACCAACCTCTTCTCCCTTGTATGTGTTTGCAAGCCATTTCATTAACACGTCCATGTGCTGTTATTGAGAAATGTCAGTAGAAGGTCGATAAATGGGCTGTGTATTTGGAGAGCTTTAGTGTGTTAGTTACCTCTGTAGACACCCATTTTTTTAGGGATGCTAGTTCGATGAGGAAGTTGTTATCGAATGCTGACCCATGGGATGTGAAGTGTGTCCTGTTACATAAATATATAGCTTAGGGAGTATTGTGTAATAGACTCATATATGTAGAAGTTATTGAAATAGTGATTGACTTACAAAGTAGGTGCTAGTTGGAGAGTTTGTTGAAACATTGACCATATTTCGTCATCTATGGGCGTTTGTATAGGATTAAGGCTTTGTGGTTCCATTTCTCTCAGTGTAAGGGCTAGAGTTGTTTCAAGGTGAGATGGATAGTGTGTTGGTCGTGTTGGTGGTGGGGAAGAGTCGCTGACATAGTCTGGTGCGTTTGGACCGTTTCCGTTTGATTCTTGGTTGGCGGGGCGGGAGTTCGAGGACCTCCTTCGAGTTGAAGTGAATGATGCGGAGGAGTCGGGTTGGGGTCAACCAAATATGAGTCTACAGGGTCATCGGCCTCTGACTGGGCCTGTAATTGGAGAAAATAAGTGTGTATTAGAGGGTTGTGTATGATCCATGTATTTAATGCCCACCTACTGGAATAAGTATACCTGGTCGGTAGGTGTATGCGAGTTGTTGACATGGTCGCCGTAATGTGTGGGAGAGGTATTGGTTTCATCATTACCATGTGGGGAGACTTGCTCCACCTGTATCGGTTGCGTAGGTAAGACCCTGAAACTGTGCAGAGCATGAATTGCTTTTATCTCGACGGCTGTGGTTGTGTCCTGTACAGAAATTGGAGGACGTGGGACTGGGCAGAGCATGGTATTCCATCTACGAATGTGTATAGCATGGTCAATATTTATTACCTCGATCTGGTTTGGTAGAAGAACACCATGGCTGGTCTTTGGGGTTACCATATGCCCGTTCTGTGGTGAAAAGGAAAGTAGATATGTCAGAGAATAGCTGAAGTTTGTAGACGAAATTGAGAGTTAGTTCTGTTGACTAGATTGAGTGAACGCGTGACGAAATTGAGTGAAGGTGTGACACTTGTATCCAGTAACTGCTGTGATGAAAATATAGGAAGAAATTGTATGTGTAAAGCATGAAATGGACAGACAATTAGTGAACATAGTTAGATGGACATCGTACATTGGACATGCTCTTGTTAGTTATGGATTCAGAGTACTTACCGGTTCTTTGAGTGCAACGCCAGCCGCGTCTGTTTCCTACAAAAGTGGAGATAAATCATTTGTGAGTGATGGATATTGAGTGTTAGTTTTATTGAGAAGGCAAGTAATGGCGTGACACTTCTATGCAGTAGCTGCTGGCGATGAAAATAGAAAAAGAAATTGTATGTGGAAAGCATTAAATGGACAGACAATTGGTGTACATATTTATGTGGACATCATGTGATAGATATGACCTTGTTGTTCGTGGATTTAGAGTACTTACCGGTTCTTTGGATCCAATGCCAGCAGCTATTGTGTCCTACAAAAGTAGAGATAAAGCATTTGTGAGGGATGGAAGTGTGATGAATTTGGGTAGAAACATAGCATTTGTGGATGTGTGGTTATGTACATAATTGTAACCAAGTTGATTTGTGGCATCATATCAGATAGTATAATTGATATGTGGGTTTTCAATGGATGGTAATGGGATGAATGAGAAGTTGTGGACGAAAGTGTTGTGTACATGTGGTTCTGTACACGCCTATAGTGGAGATGCCGAAAAAAATTAGTGAAACTGTAGAGAACTTACAGTGATTCTCGGGCCTTGTAATCCACAATTGGAGGTGTTTGTGGCCTATGAGGAGCATAACATGAGATATTAGGGAAGTTTCCCAGAACTTAAAAGAAAGAGTAATAAAACGAAGGGGGGGGGGGGGGGGGGGGGGGGGGGTAAAATGTATATAGGTGGCAGTGAGAAATAGACATGAGTGAATGGACAGCGGTTAGTGTGGATATATTGGTATGGCCAGGCACATATGGACATGTGAGATGGCAATTTGGGATGTGGAGGCATTTTTAGTAGATAGTGAAATATAACTATTGGGGACCAAGATGTATATAGGTGGGCAGAGAGTAATAGACATGATCGAATGGACAGCATTTGTGTCGATAAAATGGTATGGACAGACGCGGGTGGACATGTGTGGTGACCATGTCGGAAATAGTCGGTCATTAATGATAGTATGAGTAATATAGCTATTGGAGAAGAAAAATGTATAAAGGTGGGTAGGGAAAAATTTCCATGAGCAAATGGACAACATATGAGTGGATATATTGGTGTGGACAGATGCAAATGGACAAGTGTGATGACCATGAAGAAATTGTATGTTTGGACCACACCGGTATGGGATAATTTATATAAGGTTAAGACATGTATGGATGAGTGTGGGTGTACACTACTCTGTGGCGGGTGATGTACTTTTTTGTGAAACTGTAGAGAACTTACAGTGTTTCCCGGTCCTTGTAGTCCACAGGTAGTGACGGTTGTGGCCTCTGACGAGTAGAACATGATATGTTAGGAAAGTCCAGCCATTTAATGATAGTAATGTATGAATGGGCCCATAAATATGTATGTAGGTGGAAAGTAGAATATGGACATGCTTAAGTGAGAATGGACAACATTAGTGTGGATATATTGGTATGGATAGACAGGTATGGACATGTGTGATGAGATTTTTGGATATTGAGGCATTCTAAATAACCAGAGAAATATAGGTGTGGGCAACACCGGTATGGACTATTCACATAGGTTAACACATGTGTGGATGAGTATTGGTGTACACTAATATGTGGCGCATGTTGTAGTTGAATGTGGAACTGTAGAGTACTTACAGTGTTTCCCGGTACTTGTAGTCCACAGGTAGGGGCGGTTGTGGCCTGTGACAAGGAGAATATGATATTTAATAAGAGTAAAGTATTGATGGGCCGATAAAAATGCATAAAGGTGGGAAGTAGAATTTGGTCATGCTCAAGTGTGACCATTAAAAAGTGTCCACCAGATAGAACGATACATGTAGTGTGTGTGTGGATAGTAAACTGACCGGTGTAAAAGGATCCACCCCTTTTAGTCCAGTGCTGTCGTTGGTTGTCAAATTAATATAAGTGGACATATGGTTGACGTGAGTTGGAAAGCCGTGTGGAGCGTCTGTGTCCTCTCTGGTTTGCTGCAAGTTATAGTGACATGGTGCAACAAAGTTTAAGGACGGATTGTATGAGTCAATTAGTATAGATGAAAGGCTGGCCGTTAATGAAAAGTATGGTTGCTGTTGTTACCTGGTCTATTGGTGATTGTGGAAAGTTATTGTTAATGTCGTTGAGGACATAAGCCGTTATTTCATCCGAATTGTGTGTATCGAAAGGCTAAAATGTTGGGAGGTGTTAGAAGTTCGTTTACAGTTTTAAAATCGAGGATAGAAAAATGAAAATGATTGATGGTGTAACCTGCTGAGTATTATGATATCTGTCGACAAACTCCTGGGAGAGTAAGAAAAGAAATATAACCATAGGAAAAAATGTGAAAAAATGTGAGCATGATCGAGTGAGTGTTACAACTTACTAGACTCGGGTTAAGGAGATTGTCTAGATGTTCGTGATTAGCAGTGGACAGCTGCAATGCCTCGCCCTGGACTGAGGGTGCCTGGAGAATAAATTGTATTGTTAGAATAACTATGTTCATATGTGTACAATACCAAAGTGTGAAGGGGGTATTGAATGCAGAACTCACTTCATCATTGCAACGATGTTTCGGTAGTGAGCGTTTACCTTTGCTCTTCCGTAAGTGTATTTTCTGCTTGATCCGCTTAGTTGGAGTAGTTTGAAAAAACAATTTGTGAAATGGACGAGAATATCTTGATCTAAATTGGGCCTCGAGGTTGTTGTGCCTTTCTTCAAGTATCTTTGAACTTGTTGGATAGTTCTTCATTCTGGGAAACCAATGTTTGAATCTGCTGATAGACATCGGCTCCTAAAGATGTGAAGTTCTGGTTAGGCCTCTGACGTGGTGGTTTAGTGAGGGACCTGGATGAGGGATTGACGTTGAGGTTGGCGGCGTGAACTCCTCTCCTATTAATAAGATGTTTCTTGTGTGGAATTTGGATGGGAGGGGTTGAGTTCTGAACGAGTAGAGGGAAGCTGGTGTCACCGCCTGGCCACTGGGATTTGAGGAACTGATCGGCTTGGCAAACACGAGAGAGAAGGTACTTCACTCTCTTATCGTACGACTCATCATCCCAATCGCCGAAACCGTCTGTTGGTTCCCTGTATATCAACGGAGTTACAGTGAGCTGCATGGGGAAAAAATAATAAGGTGATTTTTTTAAAGGCGTCAATTGCAGTAGTAACCAATTAAAAGTGCTTACGTTGGGATCGGCTTCTGCTAGTTGCAATTGACTTATTGTCAAAGAGCCTTGTTTCGGTATTTTGACACCGGGCATATCAAGCAAAGTTTGGTGAATTGACGTGTCCATCAGCTTAGATAACAGAGACGGAACCTGCCGAAATGCTAGAAGCTGAAGGGCAAGTGGAAATCCACAAAGACTCATGGAACCGCCGCTTAGTTGGTCTCTGAGTATGATGACTGTGTCATCTCTTTTACCGTATGTTGGTCTCTCTGGCAACATTGTCCCAACTGTCCGGAGGAAGGATTCACGGCCCCAAGGGAAGGAGAGGAATGCTTCCATATCTCTCAGCATTCTGACATAGCGAGGTGTTGGTTTGTGAACTTGAGTGTTCGTTATCAGCACCCCATCAACAATCATTATAAGTGCTAACTGTAGTTTCCTTAAACTGGGCATATCAGGCTGATCTGCCAACATATCGCCAAGATCAGCAACTGTGGTCTTCATGTCCGTTCCCACGATTTCTTGCCAGGCGTCTTCAGGAACCGTCTTTTTGTGGGGTTGGATGTCCGGATAGTATCCATCAGGGAAATTGCCGCAAGGCAAACCAGTAATACTCGCAAACTCTGGAAGTGAGAAACGCATGGGTTGTCCACCGAAAACTATCTATAGCTTGTACTGTTTATTGGTTACGAGTTGTCTGGTCAGAAGTGCGTGTAAGAGTTTGCAAGAAATCGGACATCTGGCCGCTGGTATGTCGAAAAAAGGACCAAATATAGAATTTCTGATAATCTCGAACTCTTCAGTGCCAGCTAGAGCACGCTGGATCACCTTAAGCATGTCTGGTTTTGAGTATACGTTGAGTCGGGCAACTGGAAATCTATATGTCGCGAACAGACGAGTTGGAAGTAGTTTATCCCAGCCATCAGAGAGATCACCTGCAAGTGGGAGGTATATGGTCGTGTTAAAATGTTCAACGGAATGGGAATGTAGAGAGTAGAGTTATCCATTTTATCGTGAACATTGTTCCAACGATTGCATATCTGAATAAAAAAGCTACACAAGGATTTTTGATTTCGTTACCAAGAGACAGGAATATCTGAAAATTATGGGTAATGGTATGAGAAAATACAGAGTAAGGGGAACAGAAGCATACCTTCTGTGTCGGTGTTGGAGTTCTCGGCCATGGTGAAAGTGATATAGATCTGCGAATTGAAATAGCGCAGCAACAATGAGAGATTTGGCTGAGCAATAGCGGAATTGTGGAAGATAAGAGTTTGGGCTGAGCAATTTAGAAAATTGTATGGTGTACTGACTGAGATTCAGCGATAGGAAAGAGCTGAAATTAGGTTTCCGGCGGACGTATCAGTTGTCCAGTGTAGCCAGAAAGACTTTTCTGTTTTCCTCAACACGGTAAAAAATAAAAATGTTTTAACAGTATATGGAATATGTATAAATGTGGTTTACAAAGATGAAGGGTAATGTGGTCAAAAGACATGAGGAAAGTCCCTTAATTGCTATAGGTGATTGTAATGTAATATGAGTTTCGAAAAGTATCTTGATGTATAATATTTTCATATATTATCGTTCTATATTTATTTATTTATTTTTTTGCAAAATAATGTCTTATTCAAATGCGGCTTCTCTTACCAAAAAACAAAATTTAACTTCTAGACTTCTAGTTAGATAAAAATAGTTATATATATATATATGAAATGTGAGCATATTAACTTATTTAAATGATTTCTTAACATATGATATGTAATGTCCAAAATATATGAAATAGTATAATAGAACAACTATGACCCTTTCACATTCTTTGATTCCACCTAGTAATAATATAGCAATGATTTAATTAAAGAAATTTTTTTGACTAAAATTAAATCAAATTCATTTATAAGTTTTTTTTTATTTGGTCAAATTCTAAAGTTGGAACGAGTGCAAAGTTCATTACATTTCATTTATTCTAGTAACAAATTTAAAACTAATGACTAGTAGTAATAAATTAATACTGATTACTAGTAATAAATTAAATATGTTGACTAAGATTATATATATATATATATATATATATGTATATTGGAATCAATGCATATAAAAATACAATATCCCTAAACGGAGAACATGGCGTCGAGGAAAGTACTTCTTCTTGGCCTTTTTATGTCTCTCTCATGTGAGCCAAATCTTTTAACTTTTAACTTATCACATTTCCATATATTCTTATAATTTTTATATGATAATTATTGATGCCCAAACTTGGTTTTGATTATATTCGAATTAAATGGTTGAAATGGAATTAATTTTGTATAACGCATGTGTAAAGCGAAAGACAAAACATGCAAGTTAGTATTTGTTTTTGAAGGAAACACTAACATCTAATAATAAAGTATCAATGTGTCTTTTCCAAAGTTTAAGTGATTTGACTAAAATATGTCAATACGTTACTACCATTTTAGTAGTTCTTCGAATGTGTGTCAAAATATTTCACTATTTAAATTGCAAGACATCTCACATGTATATACTGTATTATACTACTTTGGATACTTGACCATTACATTAGTTAATGGTAATAATTCAAAATCTCTATATGTTACATAAAGGTTTGTGGGTAGCTAAAGCATTGGAGGGAGAGGCAAAAGCTAGGGGAGGCGTGAAAGATGTAACGATACAAGGTGAAGGATCTTGCAACAATGATGCTACTTGTCGTGCTAATTGTCCAGGTTGTGCTGTAACACAATGTCTCTTCCAACAATGTGTTTGCGATCAATGTTCTCCGAAACTGAATTTACGTGTTAGAAGCGAAAAAATTAGTGGAGAAATGAGAGATGCAACGACGCAACGTGGAGAACAAACTTGCGATGATGACAACACTTGCCGTAAGAATTGCCCCGACTGTAAAGTTGCAGTATGTTACTTGAGGCAATGTATTTGCACTAGGTGTTCCTTCCCCACTCGACTACCAAATTTACTTGTATAAATCGCATTTATAATGTCTCTTTAATGGCTTTTCTGTTATCTCTCATTTTCAACGATTGTCGATTGAATTATCGATCGAACGTGTGTTGACAAAATAATAATAAAAATAAATAATTATTTTAAAGTATTTACTCAAATTTAGAAGCAATGAGGTGTTTTTTACAGCAATGGTTAGCCTTTTTCTTATTTGGTTGATGTTTTGTTTTTGTAAGCATGCATGAGGCAGCATCTTGGCTTGCCCTTTAGTCCTTTTGATTAGCCATCTTAAACATATATTATAACTATTAAACGAATAAAACAAAATTTTGAATTTCGAAATCAAATTAAATTCACTAATTCATAAAAATCTGTTAGCAAAAGAAAAACTAGATTACCTTATATCAAAGAATGTTGATACGGATTAAACAGAGCAAATCATAAATGTGATTTTATTACCCAATATTTGATCTCGTTAACTTAGTTTTTGAGAAACTGATCACATAACTTGGATAATACGGTTTTATTTACATCAACTATGTATATATATGCTATATGTGTCTCATAGTGATGTAGATCAAGATTCAAGCCCACTTAGCCATGACGGACATGCCACCGGCACCAAGCAAAACGGCAGCGTATGACTTTAACTGAAGCTTGATGCTCCGTTGCATCTTCTGGCCCATAAAATCAGCGGCGAGAAGGTCCACTAGAGCCATGTAGATGAGTAGTCCGGCCGAGGAAGCGTTGAGAAGTCCAACCGTAATGAGAGAGTCAGGGCTATTCTCTTTGTACGTTTTAGATAAAGCCATCCCTAGAGCCACTCCAAAAGGCGTTGTCACCGCGAAAAAGAAAGCCATCACAGCTTTTTTTCCCCACCCGTACTCTGCCTGTGCGTGTTCTCAAATGAATTAAACAAAACTTTTGAAGAAACCAAACCATGTGATACATAGTTTAGAGAACCATAATGATGGATATATAGGACTAAACCGGACCGAGCTAATTACATGGAAAGGAGGATTTCACCTGAAGGATGCAGCCACCGAGACCCATGCCTTCGAACATTTGGTGGAAACAAAGAGCAGCGATGAGGCCTTTGATGGTGCACGTATTGTTAGTGGCTCCTACTGATAGTCCTATCACTATCGAGTGCACCACTATTCCTAGCTCCAATACCTGTTCCATTTTTATTCATTTTAATTACTCCCTTATGTTAAATCATAATTATTAGCTAGCTATATATAGGGTTTGAATGATGGATTGGTTAAAAGAATGACTAAAAATAATTGTTCCTAAATTATTTCATTCATTTTTTTTTCTTTTTGTAATCTATATCCGCTTCAACCTATTTGTGCTAAACCAAAAACATAGAAAAAGGCCGATCTAAAAATCGAAAATAATTTTTTTTTTAATATATCCAGAAAAATGGTCATCAAAATTGAAAAGAAAATTAACCGACTAAAACTTCAGTTTATTTAGAAAAAGTCAATTAGAGATATATTTTGTTGAAATATCACTGAATTCAAAGTGAAATAGCCAAACAAAGCCATAGGAGTATCTTTTTTTTTTGGGTCAAACGCAAACCATATCTGTCAAATTGTATCAAATATATTTAGAATGTGTCTATATTTCACAAAAAAAAAAAAACAACTTCTTAAAACCGAAGATAATGACCCGGATGAAAGTGCTACTAGTCTACTACTGTCGTCTTATCAGATGTAGAACCGTCGTCATTGACTATTGTTCTTTAAAATAAAATTTCCCCAAGTGTTAAAAATCTACTAAAAAAATCAAGTTAAGAGGTTTATTTCTGTAATATAAAAAAACGAGAGTGAAAGAATACTGACAATGGCAATAACACGATATCGGAGAAGCTGTAAATGAGAACCAAGTTCCTTATCATTATCTCCATGAAGATTATGATGAAGACCATGACCATGACCATGACCATGATGAGACACGTGAACCTGCACGCTCCCCGTCTCTTGGTCAGGAGTCTCAGCGGACGCCACATCAGCAGTATCCGTAGCGCGCATGTCCCTCCTGCCCGACTTGGTGAAAACGCTGGTGGTGATAGAGTCAACCATGAGTGTGAACACGGCGGAGATCATGGCGACAAAACCAGTGAAAGGAAACTTGTGCCAGGGGTTATCGTTAAGACAAGGAGAAGAGAGCATATCGAAAGAATCAGGCAAAACGTGCATGAAACCAGTAGAGAGGATGATTCCTGAGGCGAAGGATTTGACGATGAGGAAGAGAGACTTCTCCGGTTGGAAAGCGGAAACGGAACGGGCGAAGAAGGGGAGGCAAACGCCGATTAAGCTGGTTATGAGGATCGTGAAGATTGCTATGAGTTTGAGATCTAATGCTTTGTTTTTGTCGATACATGTGTTGTCGGATTTCGGTTTACAGTCTTTTACGGATTGAGAGAGAGCTCCGGGGAAGTGGGAGATGGAGAGGAGGAGGATGAGGGTGACGGCGGCAAAGGAAATGAGAGGAGATTTAGTCATCTTTCTCAGTGGTTTTGTTTTGTTTTGTTTTGTTTTGTTTCTGTCTAGAGTTTTTGAATTTGATACAAGGAACAGTTCGTGTTACTCTTATATAAAGAACTCGATTAGGATCCGTGTAATACACGAGTTTGAAAAATGTTTTAAAACATGTAAAAAATAAATTAAAAACAAAAACAAATATTCATTTATATTCGACTTTTTGGTAGTTAAAATATTTATTATATGTGGTAAATTTTGATTAATTGACTTACATACATTTCAATTATTTTAACTTAGACTGTGATTTCTATATACATTATTTTATATTAACTATTACATAACCTGTTAAAAAAACTGAATATAAAAAAGTAAAAAATAAAATTAGATCATTGTGAACATTAAAAACTAAGATCGAAAACATTTTCACAAAACCACTTTTAATAGAATGATTGAAGAAACTGGTTTTCTTCTTCGTTCCATGTTTACTTTTATATTATTCAAAAATATGACTAACATGAAAAAGTAAAAAATAAAATTAGATTTGTGAACAATAAAAAAGTAATTGAGAATATTTTCGCAAAACTACATATAATAGAACTGATTAAAACATCTGGCTTTTTCCTTCATTCCATATTTACTTTTATATTTTTGACAAATATGAATGAACATGAAAAAGTATAAAACAAAATTAGATCACTGTAAACATATCAAAATAAGACTAATAATATTTTCGCAAAATCACTTATAATAAAACTGATTAAAAATAGATTTCTCTTTTATTCCATATTTATTTTTTACATTTTTCACAAATATGATTTTTTCCTAATAAATTCTCATTGAAAATTTCATTTGGTAAAATTTTATCAGAACAAAATTGATTTTTTTCTTTCATTTTGCTTCTGCAATTCTGATTATTTTTCATTGTTTTATTAATTTTTCATCTTATTCGATTCGAACTTTGATATATCCAAGTTTATATAATAAAATATCTTAATAAAAGTCAGTACATTACTAATTAATTAATTAGTTCGGCATGTTTTTTTAATCAAATGTCGACATGTATTGTCTTGTTTCATTATAAATAGTAAATTAATGTTTTTTCATACAGATTAATGAATCATTCATTTTTGTTTTGTTTTTCTTTTAAGTTAAAACATCAGTTATCATCTAATGCATGTATATACTTAAATCCTCTACCTATTAATTGAAAATGTAGTTTAATGAAAAATGCTGATTTGTTTTAATTTGATTAGGTAAAATCTTTTTCTATCCTAATTAAATATGACATGGAAATGATGATGTGTAATGATGATGTAATTGTGACATGATATTTACTAACACATGTGGTTTATGACATGACAAAAAGATTTTTTGTGATATTTTCATTTATAAAAAAATTAATTAGATGACAAATTTAGTGTACTAATAACTAAATGAATGATTCGCCAGATGCATTATGAATAGTCTGATATTATTATTCATCTATATAGGTAATAGCATATGAATTTTAGGCTGAACGTGATGATTTTAATACACATATATATATATATTATAATACTATGGATAATACTATATTATATATATTAAATTTACTATAGCTCTGTCGTGGATCACTGTAACTTTTCATATAGATACACATATATCTATATATATATATTATAATACTATATTCATATGGAATACATGCACATATATTTTCATATATTTCAGTAGGCAAAATTATAATAACAAAATTATATTGATCAAATCGTTTACTTAATAATTCATATTTTTTGTAAAGGCGGTGCTCCATTTACGTGCACATATGTTTTCACATATTTTAGTTGATAAAATTATAATAATAAAATAAGATATTATTGTGATTTTCTGTAGAACATTCAAAATTTTAAAATATTAGTTTAGTTTAAAAATAGTAACATATATAAATATAAGATTTCGATTTAGTAATCCTCTACATTATTTTTCGTAACAAAAGTTGAATATCCTAAAAAATCAGCGTGCATCTAATGAAAAACCAAAATCATTATCCTCTACATTATTTGAAAAGTTTAATGTTCATTTAATAAAAAACCAAAAAGATCCATATAAAATCACGTTCATCCCAAATAACTAATGAAAAAGTTAGATACTCAGATCCTTATATAAGAAAACATCACAACACAATGAGTATCAAACAAATCAAACCCTAACTCAAAGCGCGGGCATGTCAATTCTACCAATCCATTTATCTAAATCAAATATGGCTAAAATAAAACTTGAAGGTTGTATAGACTCCAATCGTGAGTGTAATGAAGCAAGGTTTTATCGCTACAATGAATTTCCAAACAAATGGGTTTGGCATTAAAAAATTAAGAAGTGGCTCCCTCGCAACAGAAAAAAACAATGTTCCCTACGATATTAGCCTTCCAGAAATTTCAGAAGAACATGGTGAACTTTTCTACCTTAAAATATTGCTAAATGTTCAGAGAAAACTAGTATGTTTCAAAAAATAATAGAACAGTAAACAGAGTTTTATATTCAACATTCGCTGAAACATGTCTTGCAATAGGGTTAATTGAAGCATTTGATGCTTAAGTGGAGATGGTCTTGCAATTATTTGTAGAGTCTACTTGATAAAATTATAAGTAGAAAAATCGCACATATAAGTAGATTGAGACCAACAATGACGGAATCCTTGAAGAAATAATGCTTTAAATTGAGGAAGATTATAGGAAGACAAAGAAAATAAAAAACGTTTGTTCAAAAAAAAGACAGAGAAGATAAAATTTGCAGCTTGATCCACAAATTCGTAGAAGGTAACCAGCTATCCACGGGTTTGATCCATTTGACCTTCTAACATAACTGGTCAAGTTTTACAAAGCCTGATCATGGAAAAATAAGTTTTGTGTTTTCTAAATTTAATTATTATTTTTCAAGTCTGTCTCAAAATATAAATGAACCTTTCGTTATAACAAAATGTTTAGTTAAAATTAGATCATATTTTACTACTTAATTTAAAGTCTTATAATTCAAAACAATGACCTTGAGTTTCATATACTACAAAAAATTAAAATATTTAAAATGGATTTAGATATTGTATTTAAATAATTACATTTTAAAAATTGTTCATGTCCGCACATGCGTGCGGGCCAATATCCTAGTGGTATATTAAACACAATTCAGTTAATTATGTAACAAACAGCAAAATATAGATAGTCAAAAACATAAATAAAAAAAAGTGAATTAGTTTTTCATTAAAATTAAAAACATCATTTGAAATGAAAAACAAATTGATTAAATTATCACTTTAATATATGAAACAGAGAGGAAGTATCTTATCGTACACAACAAGGTTACACTAATTCTAGGCAACATGCAACTATGCAATGCCTGTTCTCGACACACGCATATATCAAATATTTGAGTAGGCCACCACTCAAAAAATAGCACAGATAATGATAATAGTTGTGTTGACCCAAAAAAAAAAAATGATAATAGTTGTTGAGTTCATCATATAACTTTCATAATACCATATTAATCTATACTTTTAAATTCTTTTCTTTTGTTAATTAGAAAGGATTTGAGGTTGAATTTTAATCCTTCTCCTAACTTTAGTCCAGGACTAGTCTTTACTAATACTCCATCTGTTCCTTTAAAGCATAAAAAATGATATTTTGAAAAAAAAAATCTGTTTTAAAAAATGATTTTTATTTTATTTTCCAGTATATCTTTGGTAAAATATTATCTATTTTATCTATACTTTTTCTCCTTTGTTTTTCTTTTACTTTATTTTTAGAAGGTAAATAAGTATTTTTAACAAATTTCTTAAAAATTGTGAAAACTTCAAAAAGGTTCTTCTATGAGAAACATAGAGAGTATTATTTAAGGCATAAAACATCTTTTTCATTAGTAGATTTAAGATGAATTTTCATAGGGATACACTATGTAAAATTGAAAACATATTAGAACAATAAAATTTGATGTAAGCAAAATAACATCAAATAAAATAAAAATCATCCAGGGCAACTATCCTCCATACCCTTCATGTGGCTTCGCCACTGAGCACACCAGAACCAACCCATGTTTAAACCACTAACCCAACTCATCCCAGTGGTCTTTTAAAATCTCTTACTCTGTTGTTTTAGGCATTTTTATTTGAAGAACGATACGCAGAATATATGATATGCTATTTTCCCTTCAATTATTGTACTAGTTAATGTACTTAAGGATAAGCCACACTGTAGTATACATTATATATGTTCTCCAGTACATATGAACTCGTACGATACTTATAGCCTAAGTTGACTTCTAACTCTTTCTAAGAAAGTCGCCATAAGGAATGTTTCAACAAAAAGCATTGATGTGACTGTATTACAAAAAAATTGAAAGTAAATAAGCTGAAACTTAGACTATAAATAAGCTGAAAATTGAAAGTTTATAGAGTTTAAAACTTAATTCTATGAAAATAAAGTTTAGGATTTCAAATTTAAGTTTATAACTTGTTGGATTTAGAGTTTTTGTTACTTTTAAACGACTATTTTGTTAACTTCTATATAAAAATATGGCATATTTTCTAAGAGAAATGTTGTGCCACGTGGAAATGAAAATCTCAAAAGACAAAGAAATGCTGCAAAATGGAGAGGAAAGTCGTGTAGACTGGCTTGAAATTACCAAAAAGAGATGATTCGATTTTAGTGATCGATCTCATTAGAAGGAATGTGTTGAATTGTGCCAGATGGAGATGTAAGAACTCAGAAAAACAAAAATACTTTACAAAGTGGAGATCACAACAATAATGTACTACAGTCATGTTTCAGATTACCAATTCTAATTGCTCAAAATATACTATAATTCTAAGGAAATACCAGTTCAAACTCTATAATTATCGATTCATTAAACTTTCCGTATAAGAGAAGAATCGTCTTCATATCTGAAACATGGCCTAGATTGCAGATATTATATCCAACTAGCGCCATAGTTTTGGTGTCTAGACTGAAGTAATTTTATTTTTTTACGCATATATATACCTGATTAAGTTTGAGAAAACAAAGTTTTCATGTTTATTATATATGCGCCTCATTATAACACTTAACAAG